ATACAAGAGCACACAATAGATACAAACTCAAGGTTAACCGCACCAAACTTGACTGCAGAAAATACGACTTCAGCAACAGAGTGGTCAATGTTTGGAATACTCTACCTGACTCTGTGGTTTCTTCCCCAAACCCCAAAAACTTTAACTTTAGACTGTCTACTATTGACCTCACCCCCTTCCTAAGAGGCCTGTAGGGAGCGTGCATAAGCGCACCAATCGTGCCTATCGTCCCTATCCTATTGTTTTTCTTATTTTTCTTATAAGTATCTATCTCAAGTATTCAAAACTATGTTTATTCTTATACCTATATCTTGTAAGCGATTGACAAATCAAATAAATACTAAAAATACCTTTCACTATAGCTTCATGTTATACCTTTGGGTCTTTAACTTTTTGCTTCTTTCTAACAGTTACTTGGTCTTCTCAGACCATTCAATCTTCCTTCCTGTGTTTACTTTGCTATTTGACCCTAATTCATTATTTATGTTACACCAACCACCTCAACATGCTTTTTTTCATAGTGTACAGCATGCTTGAACTCAATCCATATCCATTGAACCATTAGAATAAAGGGACTCTGGAGGTTTTCTAGTCCAGCCCACTGCTCAAACAGAACCTATACTATTTCAGACAAATGACTAACCAGACTCTTATCTTCAATATCTATCTATTCCATCTCTTATTTCACCCTGCATACTTCTTAAGCTTTCCGGCTCTATTGCATTCAACTTGCATTTCTCTTGACATACCCAAATTTCATTTCCTTGGGACAAAGTGAGCAGAAATGTTTTTGTATAAAGTTATTTTTGTTTTTTACAGCAAACTTTCATCATGTATAACATGGGTCTCCAAAAATGCTGGATGAGGAATTCCGAGAGTTGAAGTCCCCAAGTCTTAATGTTGCCAAGTTTGGAGACACCTAACCTACAATAATCCATATGTCCAGCTAGCCTTAAAGATTCAAATGACAAAATGTGCATCATGACATTAATATGAAAGGAGTCGATATAGAGTTTTCAGACTTTTTTTCCCTTATTCATCTCGAAGATGCTCTTGGCCAAGAGAATCTCCCTAGCAGCATTTGCACATCTTAAAATTTCTATGCCCAGTTTTACTTACTTTCCATCAGGCAACACCAATTAAGAAGTAGAATTTTTTTAGCAGGATTAAGAACCTAACAAATGAAGTTCATATAATAGTTGCTGTTTGCAAAAACTTGTAATTCAATTAGCATAGTTTATTTGGTGTATGGCATCTACAGCAGTCATGCAATCACTGATTTACAAATTTAGTTTAAATAAAGTATGTGTATGTATGGGGTGGTTAGATGAATGGATGGATGGATAAATTAGATAGATAGATAGATAGATAGATAGATAGATAGATAGATAGATAGATAGATAGATAGGAAGGAAGGAGGGGAAGGGAGGAAATATAATAAAATCACACTAATATGGAGCCACAGCATAACTATTTAGTAAAGTCAACATAACAGTTGTTAATAGTGGAAAACATCACTCACATACAGAAAAAAATGCCATAATTGGCCATGGATTTCCATGTCAACTGTCCCTAAGAATTATATTACATTCTGTACCAAAGCTTTCATCTCTGACTCAGTCATTTAATGTTCTGACTAAAGTACTGTACACCACTGTGAAAAACAAAAGTGCCCTTTAGCCGATTTGATAAACTCCAAAAAACAAATTTCCATTAAAAAAAAAACCCTTATCATGATTAGCAACAGATTAGTGTCTGTTAGGGTTAGTGACATCTTAAAAGTTTTCTTACATATCACAGGATATTCCTTAATATTCCTATGCCATTACAGCAACACTAATTTACTAATAATTTTACATGTAAAGCAACTTCAACAATTAATATATTGGTAAAGAAGCCAAGGCCAAATCTTTCTCTTTCTGTAGCTTTTGGAATGTAGATTAAATAAGGTTGGAAGGAACGTTAGAGGTCTTCTAGTCAAACCCCCTGCTCAAGCTATACCATTCTGGACAAATGGCTGCCCAATCTCTTCTTAAAAACATCCAATGGTGGAGCAAGTTAAGAAATCCAGGTTTGGATTATTTTGCATGCACACACAAATATTTTCATAATAGTCACTTGACTCCAAAAATAAATACTATATAGGTAAATCCTCAATTTATGACCACATTTGAGGCCAAAACTTCTATTACTAAGCAAGACAGTTAAATGAGTTTTGCCCCATTTTATGACCATTCTCAACAGAGTTGTGAAGCAAATCACTGCAGTCATTATGCTAATAACACAATTTTTAAGTGAATCTGGCTTTCTCCCTCACTTTGCTTGTCAGAAGGTATCAAAAGCAGATCACATACTGGCCCCAGGATACTGCAACTATCATGAATATAAACCAGTTGTCAAACACCCAAATTTTGATCACATGACCAAGGGGATACCACAATGGTTGTAAGAGTAAAAAATGGTCATAAGTAACTTTTTTAATGCCATTGTATCATCAATCAATCTCTAAACAATAAGTTACCTATACAGGCAACAACCCCTTTTTCTATATTAATAAGCATAACAAAGCAAGAATTACTGTAATCTAACATTAAGCACTGAAGCTAAGACATTGGATCTTTAGTATACAGTCTTAACATGCACAACTAGGAATAAATCCTACCAAATACTGTGGGACACTGAAGGGAACATAAGACCGCAACTGGATCAATCCCCACACATGATTTAGAGGGGGAAATATATGCCATATTCCCAATTAAGCTACCCTCAATTTAAATATTTGGTTACAATATGGAACAGTAACTGATGCTTATTTAAAGGGAGACATAAAAAAGAGACTAAATTATATTTCAGTTAATCAATGCATTCATTTGACTTGACAGCTTTGGGAATGAGATTTCCCTCAGTTTTCAAGTAGCATTCAAGAATAAGGCTTCTTGCTCCATATATGTTAACAAGTGCTGTAAGTGGCTTCAGGTGATTCCAATTTGTTCCCAAACTACAAATTCAATAGGATAAGAACTGCAGTGGTGGGGAAATGAGAGACAAATAAATCAAGATGGCCATCACAACCCTTCTGACATGCTCCTCATATGACACATATAAAAAGGGGTACATTTTCAGCCAGTTTTGATTTTTTTTAGCCCTTTGCCCTTGCAAACCCCCCCATACAGAAGAAATCTGTTACAATTATTCAGTGCCAAAAGCTGACATCCTTCTGTGTTATAAGACCAAATGCCCAGACAGAAAAGGGAAAATAATTTTCCTTCTGTTAAAAATCACTTCGGAAGATGCTATCTTATACTGATTTTTGATTGGCTGGTTTCTGAGATTGGAAACAATGGTAGTTGCCCCAAAATTTTCTCTCCAAAAGCAATTTCATCGGTAGTGCTCCACTGAGAAGTTATCCTATGGGAAAAAGAATCTCCTGTGGGATACTTTTCACATCTAAAAGAAATATGGAAATAAGGAGTGATATTATGGTCGAAATCCTTTGCTCCGGAGGAACAGAGTGTAAAACCACCTGTGGCTGTGAAGTTACTTCACCCAGTTTTCCCACAAGCCTCGTTAGAATGCAAATGGAACTAAAGGAACATGTATGGATTATTTAGTGTATGCTATATAATAATTGTCTTTAAAGACTGAGAGGCTTGGGACAGAATCTTTATTTGAGCCCTTTATTTATTTAAAGCATTTGTATTTATTTATATCCTGCCTGTATTATTTTCACAAATTAACTCAATGCAGCAATCATATCCAACACACCTATTCCTTCTTCTATTTTCCCCACAACAATAACCTTGCCAGGTAGACTGGGCTGAGTATGTGTGACTGGCTCAAGGTTACTAAGCTAGCTTTCATGACTAAGACAGGACTTGAACTCAGAGCCTCTCAGTTTTAGCCTGGTGCTTAACCTGGCTCTTTATATTTAGAGTGTTATATATAAAGTGTTATATAGTGTTATATAGAGGTGAATCTTTGGTTCAGCCTACCAACCATTTACATAAAACATTTATATCATGTCTATATATTATTTCACAAATAACTCAAGGCACAAACATATCTAACTCACCTTCTTCCTCTTATTTTCCAATAACAACCTTGCAAAGGTTGGCTGGGCTGACACCGACTCCAAGCTGGCCTTCATGGCTAAGGTAGAACTCAAACTCAGAGCCTCTTGCTTTCTGATTCCTTAACTACTAGACCAAACTGGCTCTTTACATATAGGGTTAAACAGATCGAGGCAGAACCTCCACTCCAATTCCCAACCATTTATTTATTTATTTATTTATTTTATAACATTTGAATCTTCATTTCAAGCCAGATGTTTCCAGTTTTCCTGTAAAGAAAAGACTCTTTTGTGTCATAGATGGTGAACTTTTTCTATGGGCCCTTCTGGAGAAAGGAGGCGGCCTGGATTTGCAAGCCATGCGCAGCTGGGATCACCAGAAAAATGGAGAAGACCTCCAACTTCAACCTCCTCTGTAAAGACTAATGGATTAAAGTTTGAGTTGCTCCCACACACTCCTTCAAAACAACTGCTTTGGTTTTCCAACCTGCCCACCTACTTTTGGGGTTCCTGAGTCTGGGAAGGGGTGGGGAAACGACCCATAACTACTGCTACTACTACTCCCCAAGTGGAGACCATTCATGTCACCCGTTCTCCACTGCCCGAGAGCTGCAAAATCCCCGAATATGGCTCTGAGGCCCGCTTTCTCACACTGCCAGTGCAGACTGCACATGCCCAGAGGCACCGTCGCCTTGCCACCACACCCGCGTCCCACCGCTGCTGCTTAGTTTTCAGTGAGGTGGGGGTGGGGTGAAAGACAGAGGGGGAGGGGGAAATTAAAGCAACATCAACGCGGGAGGGTCAAACTAGTGTTTTCTTTCGCCCTCTTTTGCCCCCCTCCCAATCTTGGCTTGCGTAAGCCACCTCTCCAGGGGTTTCTTCTCCCACCCGTGTCGGCGTGTTCGTACGTCCTTCCCGACTCGCGTCTTACCGTCGATATTCTCCCGGTCGCTGATATGCTGCAGGTTGCAACCCGTGTCGTCGCGGCTCAGCTCGGTGTCGGGCCGGTACGACTCCAGCCGCGAATGGGCATTCCTCCGCAGTTTGGGGCTGGACGAAACGCAGCAGGAGGTCGCGTTCCCCATGTTCGCCGCCGGCGGGACCGGGCAGGCAGTCGAGAGAGGCTGGACCCAAGCGGGGTAGACGAAGAGGACCGGAGGAGGCGGAGCAGGGAGGAGAAACCAGACGGGAATGAAGGCAGGAGCGACAGGAGTTACCAGCGTTTGGTATGGTGTGAAACCATAAACGGGAACCAGCACCACCACTGAGAGAGGTGGAGGAGGAGGGGGCGGTGGGGGCGGCGGCGTGTACGGTGGCTGTGGTCCCCGCTGCTTGGCCCGTGCTGTCCCCGGAGGCTCATGCAACCTCCTGCACTGGCAGTGACATGCACTGCTGCAAAACTGGGTTAACTCGGCCGTCGTGCGAGTTGTTCGTGCTGCTGTAGAGGAAAAGGAGGAGGAAGAGGAGGCGGGTGCAGTCTTAGCGCCATGGCCGGCCGCTTTAAATCTTTTCAGCTGCCCGGGACTGGTGGCTTCCACCCAGTGGCCTGCAGGAAAGGGGGAAGAGGAGGAGCAGCAGTAGCTAAAGAAGACCTGGAGAGGTTCTTCCTTTCCCGGTGGCGGCAGCAGCAGCAGTAAAAAGCAAGAGCAAAGCTCCGGGCTGCCTTTTTGCAAAAACGGTTCCGGTTCAAGTGGGTGGGAAGGTCGGTGCCTTGCTTGCTGCCAAGCGGGCGGGAAGACCGGGCGAAGCGAAACGAGGAGAACCGGCTTCCCTGGGTAAAGGGCTATTAGGATCGCCGTCTTCCACTCCATTGATGGCTCCAGAGCGGCAGATGTGCCAAGTGTCACTTCGTGGAAGCCCTGGGACGGGTGAGGCTCCTGCCTTGGCATCCCCCCTAGACGGGGTAAATAGGTGATAATTGTTCGGGGAGTGGGGGGACAAAGGAGGGAGGAAGAAGAAGAAGAAAGGAGGAAAAGAAAACAATTGCTGGTTTAACAGGTATGGCATGAACAAGTGTCATCCAGATTCAGATGTCTGAACTGGATGAGGCACCCTTTTGCCCCCCTTCTTACAGGATCAGGAGTTGGGTAATTTGTGGTTCAGCCAGTGGTTAGAAGACCCATCCCTTCCCTTGGCAGGCTGTGGCATCCAAACCATCACATATCAAAATACAGTTGACAGATCCAAGCATAGCATGTTTCTGAATGCCGAGCCAGCTCTTGTTAATTCCAGTAGTGACCATTCAAAAGTTATATAACAGCACTGGAAAAAGGGTCTTATGATGATATGTGCAACCGTTGCAACATCCCCACAGTCAAAATTGGGGTACATGGCAGTTGGTTCTTATGTATGACAATCACAGTGTCTGTGTGTCATGTGATCCCCTTTTGCGACCACCTAACAAGCGAATGAGGAAGCCAGATTCCATTGACTGTTTTGGTAACTTAGTCACTGCAATGATTCACTTAACAACTGTGGCAAGAAAGTCATAAAAGGGACAACACTCTCAACATCTGTCTTGCTCCCCTGTGGTCATAATTCAAGGATTATCTGTACACAAAAGTTTCCCATATTGTGTAAATCTATCTTTTTGTAAGGTAGCTATCAGGACAATAATTGGCTGGAGTGAGATTATTTTTTTCCCATTAATTTTGTACCATTTTTTATTCTCCAGGAGCTCAAGTCTGAGTATCAGCATGGCTCTTTTCAGCTTTTCCCAAAATAAAATCTTTGTGAGATAGTAACTGGCTCTGAAACATTCAGTGTGTTTCCATGATGGACTGAACTCAGATATATGTTTTCTTAGGCTTCATAAGTGTTTCAGGCAACCAGCCCCCCCACAATTTATTTTTTATTTATACTTCATATTTATATAGCTGCCAATCTCACAGAAGGTGACTCAGTGGCGAACAATTCAGTATAACCGTAAAAATATAAAACAATTGTTTATTTTTATAAACAAATATAAAAATAATCTCAGTAACAGATGTAGCACTGAGTTAACCAAAAATCTCAGCAAATGAAACCAAGAGGATTTTAAAAAGGAGAAAGGTGATAGGGTATCTGTGAATAAATATATAATATTTGAACAGGTATGCACATATTTTAAACCCCCATATTAAACATTCTAGTTCAAAACAACCTGTCTATACAGGAAAGCAAGAGACTATGAGTTCAAGTCCTGCCTTAGCCATGAAAGCCAGATGAGTGACCTTGGGCTAGTCATCCTCTCTCAGCCCAACTCAACTCAAAAGTTTGTTGGAGACGGGTGGGAAATAGGAGGAAGGTGCATTGAATATGTTCACTGCCTTGAGTCATTTGTAAAAATAATAAAGGTGGGATATAAATAAATATTAAAGCAAATTAACATAACTAATAAATAATAACCCAGTTAGACTGAATCTGTTTTTTATTGTAGAATTAATTCCTTGATCAAGTAATTTCCATTTTAAACTGAACCCATGAAAGTTACCTTCTTCTAGTAGTTAAATACTAATATTTAACCTTAGTATTTGATAAGTTAGTATTTAATCTAAAGTACACAAAGTGTATTTTAAATACAGGCAATCCTTGGATATTTCTGGTACTTGGGAGCCAGAATCTCCATTGCTAAGTGACGGGATTATAAAATGTGATGTCACATGACTGCATCTCTTAGCAATGATACCCGGCACTTTCATATTGTCATCATTAAGGAGGCATCCTAAGTTAAGTAAATTCTAGGCAGGCCACAAAAAGGCAGGTAGACCGCCCAAATGCAGCAAGGCCAGAAGTAACTTCTGCCAGGTGTTATGTAGAAGATGCGAGCAACTTAACCAGAGCTCTAACTGACTAGTGGGGAATGGAAGGATTTTTTATTCTTCGCACCCATCTGCCATTAGCACTCAGAGTTGATCATTAGCTCTCTGAGGCCACTTAGGGATTTATCTGTATCCTCAAAGTCATCTAAATCAATGGATATGGATGTAGAGCCTTCTTGAAACTGCTAAAAGGATGGCGTGGTATCCACCGCTCTCTATTGAAGGAAGACTGTTCAATTTTAACATAGATAGCCTCCTTCACTTCTCTCTCAAGTGCTTACCAGAGCAACTTGCAACCTTCCCTGACAGTTTTCCATTGACTTTTTGAGATGTCAGCAAGAAAGATCATAAATTACAATTATGTGACCCAAGGGTACTGGGAAGTCCAGAAGTTTGAGGACCTGTGATAATTACCAGTTATTCAGCACCTTTGTAATTTAATTGAAATTAATCCTGATAATTTATACATGTAGCTTCTTTTTCCGGTGCTTTGAGCTGTAGTAAAAATTATTTATGTCCCAATAATAAAAAGCCCTACATCCCCATAATAAAAAGGTGCATACAAAGGAGCTAGAGACATGTAACATGTGATTTCTTGACAATTAGAAATGTAATCTGTCCCTTCCTCCAATTTTACAACCAGCTTTGCTCAGTTGGGAGCTGGCATATTTCATTCATACTTAATCATGTCCCATTGCAAAGTGTTAAATAACTGATATGAAATAGCATCTTTGAAGAGATGAGTCTCCCACTGAGGTTTGTAGGATTACAATATCTGTCAGATAGTTCCAAAGACATTTCTAGTTACCACTTTATAGCTAAATACCCACACGGGAAAAATAAACATCAGAAAGTTGTATTTAAAGGCTAGTGTCAGATGAATAATATGTGAAAATATAGTGTACAGAATGTGACAGTTTTAAAGCTGAAAAGTATGTGAAACAATAATGTGAGTTCAGTCTATGGTGATAAATTAAAAGCTTAAGGAAAACCTGCTACTCAGTCAATGGAATTATTCATTTATCTGTCTCCAGTTAAAATAGAGAACATTGTCCAGATCTGTGACAATGGTTTAAATAGGAGATAGTCTGGTAATTTAGAAGGCTGTGACATGGACAGAACTGGGCTAACTAATGACATTAGTCCATCAAGGTGTAGTGAGGAGCAGAGATGGAAGCAGTTTGCAAACACATGCTCCAGTCTCCCACTTCTGGAAAATTGAATTTAATTTCTGCCCTGTGTCCATCCTGAATCAAGTAGATTGATAAGTTGTCATGACTTGATGCAGCTTGACTTTTTAATCAATCAATTCTTAGTTCTTAGTTTAATCAATCAATTCTTAGTTGTTAGAAGGCAGTAATTATGTAAAAAAGAAAATAAGATTAAAATACTGAAATAAATATATGTGTCTCTTTTTCTCAATCACCTTAATACAAATATTCTAGTATTCTTTATATCAAGAGTCCCCAAACTTGGCAACTTTAAGACTTGTGGATTTCAACTCCCAGCATAGCTGGCTGAGGAATTCTGGGAGTTGAAGTCCACAAGTCTTAAAGTTGCCAAATTTGGAGTTTATATAAACCAAATCTGGTTTATATACACCACTGAGAGTTTCACTCAAATCAGTAAACAGTGGTTCTCATGATAATGAGTTTTGAGAAGCATATGCAAACAAAGGAAAAAATGTAATGGGTCATTAAAGACAAATAATTTTACTGTAATTAAAAACTTATGTGGTAACTTGATGATCTGATGTCTTTCACAGATATTGGTCCTCAGTTTTGAAATAATATGACTATATTCCAAACGCTTCTGGAGGAAACTGGACTACAGGTACTTTTCTACTTAACAACCATTTGTTTAGTGAATGAAGTTAGAACACACTGAAAAATGTGCTGTATGATCATTTTTCACATGACCTTTGCAGCATCTCTATAGTGATGTGATCAAAATGCAATGTTTCGTGACTTGCATGTATTTTTAACAGTGCACTGTCTCAGAGGCATATAATCACCTTTTCTGATCCGACAAGCAAACACATGAGGAAGCCAGATTCATTTAACTATGTTACTAACTTAATTGTAGTATTCATTTAACAACTGTGGCAAGAAAGGTTGTAAAACGGGATAAAACTCAGTTAATAACTGCTTAGCAACAGAAATTTTGGCTTCAGTTTGTGGCCAGAAATTAAGGACTACCTATAGTAACCATGTGACATACTCCAAATTTTGATATAGTGCCCCTTAAAACACTTGAGACCATAAATAGATGCCTTGCTGAGACACCTAAGTTCCATCTCTCTCATCCAGAGTCACCTTGAAAAAGGGCAGCATAGAAATTTATATAAATAGTAATCTTATTTGTATAAAGACAAAACCGATGGAAATCAGATTGTACTTTCAGAACCAGAAAGATGGTTGTGCAATGCTAAGTGATGGTTGTATCTCCCACTACCATGTAATTATTTTATTCTTTTGTTTTTAACTTTATCATACTTTATCAGTTTTTCTAATTTTTATGCCATCCAAAGTCATGTCTTGTAATGGACATCTATATAAATTTGTTAAATCAAGTTATATGTATTTTTCTCTACAGGGTTTGCTCATTATAACTACAGTAATCCTCAACTTACAACCATTTGTTAACAATGATTCAGAGTGGCATTGAAAAAGTGGCTTACAATCAGTCCTTACAACCTTTGCAGCATCCCCATGATTAATGATCAAAATTTGGGTACTGGGTAATCACCAGGTACAGTGTTCTGTGGTCATGTGTTCTCCATGTTCAATCTTCCCATCTAGTCTCCAACAAAGAAAATGGGGGTAGCCAGATTCTGTACTTCCTATATAGTAACAGTCCAACCATCACTGCAGACTGATGGAACTTGAAAAGATGAAGAAACTTGCATAGGTATGCTCATATAGCAGCTAAAACAGTAGCTGATAAGCAAGAATAGACCAATAGAATAATACAAATTCAAAGACCCAGGTTCTTACTGCCACAGCATGCCACAGTAGAACCTGAATACAATCAATGTTAGATTTCAACTCCTAGAATTCTCAGCACAGGCAATGTTGGCTATTCTGAAGCAGAGGTGTTATTCAGTAGATTCTGACCAGTTCTGGAGAACCAGTAGCGGAAAATGATATTCTAGACAGACAAAGCTTTCTAG